TGGTAGTCGAAGCAATATATAGTGGTCTAAGCCCTTAGCTCTTGTCTGTAATGCCAATGGCACATCGGCATCTAGTTATTTATGAGTTTCCACCTTTTTACCCCTAGACAGACAGACAGACAGACAGACAGACAGACAGACAGACAGACAGACAGACAGACAGACAGACAGACAGACAGACACTGAGTCTTCGCTATTGTTTACAATGTGTTGATGATGAAATTCCATGATTATCTCTCCAAAAACAAAAAGCAACGACTGCTCTCTCTGGGCCCAAATCTCCGCCCGCCACCCCTTCACCAAGTACGTTCTGAGTGATCCAGTGTGTGTTCTGTGGCTTAGCGTATGAACTATCGTATAGTGTGTGTTCTATTGCTTAATTAATGTGTGACCTATCGTTTAGTTTGTGTTCTATTGTTTTATTTGTTATATATTGTATAGTGCGTGTTTTATCTCTGAATGTGTGAACTATCGCTCAGTGTGTGTTCTATCTCTGAATGTGTGAACTATTGTGTAGTGTATGTTCTATCTCTGAATGTGTGAACTACCGTTTAGTGCGCGTTCTATCTATGAATATTGTGTGAACTATCGTTTAGTGTGTGTTCTATTTCTTGGTTAATGAGCGAACTGTCGTTTATTGTGTGTTCTATCGATTAATTAATGTGTGAACTATCGTTTATTGTGTGTTCTATCTCTGAATGTGTGAACTATCGTTTAGTGTGTGTTCTACCTGTAAATATTGTGTGAACTATCGTTTAGTGTGTGTTTATCTCCGAATGTGTGAACTATCGTTTAGTGTGTGTTCTATCGCTTAATTTGTGAACTACCCTTTAGTGTATATCTTACTTTACTTTTTACTTTTTCGCCTGCTGTTGCTGTTAAGCATCGAGGGGAGATTCAGTTTTCTACAGTAGGCCAGGTCTTCAGCTGTTTCAATTGGGATGATATTAATATCTAAGGGTTCCCTTGACTTCCTCAATCCATATTTTGCGTGGCCTTCCTCTTCCTTTATGGCCGAAGTGTTGGGGTATTATTGAAGCTAGGTGGCTTTCGTTATTGGAGGCCGAATTATTTTATTCTCTTTTTTTTTCTATGAAATACAGGCAGGACTCAGTGCCAATAGCTACTCTTTCTTGGCCTGTCTTGTCTTGTGATGTTAAGGGTTTTGGGTAGAAATTTCATCTCGCTTACATTGATTTTGCTTTCATTGGTCTTAATTAATGTCCATGTCATTAATGTATGTTCTATTGCATAATATATAACTATCGTTTAGTGTATGTTCTATCGCTTGATGTAAGAACTATCTTTCATTGTATGTTATATTGCTTAATGTGTAAACGAATGTTTGGTGTATATTCATTCGCATATTGTACGAGTGTCATTTATGGTATCTTACTCGTATACCGCTTAATATATGAACTATCGTTTAATGTATGTTCCTGTTGCTTAAAGTATAAATTATCGCTCATTGTAAATTCTATCGCTTAATGTATCAGCTATCGTTCCGTGTATGTTCTGTATAAATGTCTCACAAGAATTCTTTTTGCACCAAAATGGCTACCCTTTAACTTCCAAGTTCTAGTTTTGAGAAATTTGACGTTAAAAAATTTGAGTTTCATAACATGTCAAGATTTTTTTAAAGAATAGCTTTGAATATCTCGATAACGACTCCAGATAGTCTTACAATTTTGATAAAGCAGATAGAGCATTCGGTTTCTGACCTCATAGTCTTATAGTAACTGAAAATTACCAAAAATGTCAGACAGGACTTCGTAATTTATTACTACTACTACTACTACTACTACTACTACTACTACTACTACTACTACTACTA